CCAGGCTTATGTGAATCTGAGAAAGCCTCCTAAATTCAGTATAGCAGAATTATTTTCTGCAGAGGGAAAGCTTTTTTTTTTTCCCTAAGTGTATATGCATTAATTGAAGCCCTGCCCCACCCGGCAACCCCACCACCTATCTTGAGGTTCTGTCTTTCAACATTTCTCAGGAACTTGCTGCTTTACTTGATAGAGAAGCATCCTGCATGCACAAGGTGCTGAGTCTCTGATTCCCAGGCCTCCAACTGCACCAGGGGAGCTCTTACCAGCCATGTGCCTCTCCTGGGCCTAACTGTGCTATATCAATAGGTCACTACTTCCCTCAACACAGATAGTATTCTTATCAACTTCTGCAGAACCATATGTTCTCTTTTACACTATAACTTCTGAATCATAAGATGTACTCTACCTCCAAGTGAACGTAAGATATGTTCTATTATATATGATATCCACGTCATAGAATACATTCATATGGACATATTCTGCAATTCCAACAGTTATATTATACCCAGTCGTTTGAAGATCATACATACTAAAGTCACTACCTATACTTTGATATGGGAAGGAATCCCTTGATTATCTTTTTTGTTTGTTTGTTTTGTTTTCTCATGGGCAGTCAGCAGAGACCTGAGCTTCCATCTATCACTGGGGGACCATCTTTCCCCAAATCAGTTATGGTTAAGCCCCAAAAGCACAGGCCTAAAACAAATGCTTGCTTCCAATTTTCCCTCTTTCTCTCTAAAACCAAATCTTGATTGGCTTCTTGAACTCTGGCCTCCACTACAAGGCACCTGTCTGGTTTGTAGAAAGCAAGAAGCTTGGTTCAGATGGACCTCCCAAGGAACTGCTGTCATTTTATTGATTCTACCCTAATAAAGAGCAGTTGGTACTAAAGCCCTTGGAAGGGCACAAGGCTCATCGTAGCCATCTTTCCAGGTCCAGGCGCTGTCACTTTCAAATTAAGAAATGCAAAAGAGGCTGCATGAGTACAAATTGGAGTGGATCCACTGTACAGTACCTAAGATACATTTATTTCAGGTAGGTTTCTCAAGCAACCACGACAGAAGAGGGTGACAGTGGCCTCCCCCAAACTTACACTGCCAACATTTCTATTTACCAGGGCAATCAAAACGTAGCAGGTATCTGTCAACCAGGATAGTCTTTCCTGGGCAAGCAAGCAACCGAGGTCATGGATGCTCATTTACAACCTCGAACCTGTTGTCAGCCTGGCTGCTGCTCAGGGCCAACTCCTGCTCCAGGCAGCAACACAGAGCAGACTTCTAACAGCCTGCACCAGGATCTGCAGCCCCTGGTCTACGGCAGCCCCCGTCTACGGCAGCCTGGAGGCTTCGTCAGCCCACTCTTGTATTGGGGCAGAGTGTCAGAAAGGTGTCCAACTCATTTACAGTCCTTGAGTCCCTTTCGACAACTCATGTGCTCTCTTTGGCCAACTAGTCTGAAGTACTCTGCAGCATTTCTTTCCCTTAACAGATGCACCTTGGATTTTAGATATCCAAAAAGTTCTCTCTTTTTTTACTTAACTCTTGTAATTTGGGGTTTTACTTCAAAGTAAAGTATTTTGCACATGTACTATCACATTAGAAATTCCAAACATGCTAAGTAGAAACTATAATTAAAAAATAGAAATCAATGCTAGGACCTGGGGTAGTGGCTTAGTGGTCGAACACTTGCCTAGCATGTGAGAAGCACGGGGTTTGATCCTCAGAAACACATAAAAATAAATAAAGTATACAATTTGATATTTAAAAAACAATCAATGCTAGTTTCCTAACCCACAAAGTAAAAGCTAAATACCTACCTACCTGATAGGGCTGATTGAATAGCATAATGAATGCAGAGCATCTGACCCAGTACCTGCCACATAGTAGGTGCTCAATGAGAGATCTGATTTGACTTAGACATGTACATTATTAATTCAAATCCAAAGCAGCACTATTGACATTTCCATGACAAGAATGTTTAATTTATAGTTTAAGACCTATTTGATTGCAAATTGGATGGAAGTCAATTTACAGTACCAAATTATGTTTCAACTATTTTAAAACTGTGCATACAAAGAGACACTAGAAAGAGGAAAGAAAGTCCAATTAAAGGATGCAGATGTGTTAACTGCTGAAAGTGAGCTCTTGATTTAGCTTAATGTTGTCTGATGGTCAAAGAAACAAAATCCTGTTAACTTATGCAACTCACTCCTCATTTAATAAATGGAATGTGTAACTCACAGGGAAAATGGATTTTCCTCCTGATGTTCAGAGCTGAGGGCAGTGGCTCATGTGGGTCCTGACACCAGGCACGCTGGGTAACTGAGAAGAGCTACATGTCTGTGTGCCCAGGTGCAAAGGTACACACCCATTCATCAGAAGGGATGCTCTGCTCTATGGGTATTGTAGGTGAGGAACCAGTGGGCAAGTTGGCTGAAGTCTTTCTTAACCTACATTCAGAAAACTGGAGTAAAATTTCTCCACTTTATTCCAAAATATGGACCAGTTTTGTATTTGAGAAGTTTGGTCCTTGGTTTTTTGGAAGTATAGGTCTTGACTTTTTCAAGCAGTCCACTTGGGCTTGCCTGCTGTCCTGAGCCAGGATGACCAGAGTGGCCTGTGGATGGGGAGGATGTGGAGGAATCTGCTTCCAAACACTTGAGACTAATCAGAGACAACAGGCTTCCCTGGGAAAATCGTAATCACCATACTGGGGAAGGGCCAAATGCTGGCAGGATTTATTGGCTTTGATTAACAATACGGTGTTTGTTTTTGTAGGTAATTAGAGTTCAATAGCAAGCTATAAAAGTCCTCTAAGAAATTCTAAATGGACTATAGCTAAAGGGTACTAAATTATAACTGAATCTAACCATTCATCTATGCAGACCTCCTGTACTAATGAGCCAGTGTTTGATACAGCACAATCCCAGGCTGTCAAGGAGAAAATGGCCTCTGTGTTCCCAAAGTCCTGGGAGAAAAGACCTCCATGCAGTGTGAGTGCCCACACATGTGCCCACACACGTGTGCAAACAGCACTCCAGTATGGATCATGCTTCAGCATCCCAGCTGCCTTGGTATGTTACAGCTCATGAAGCAACAGCTCACATTGTCTGATTTAAAGCCACTATTCAAAGATCCATCACAAGCTGGATGATGACAAATGTTCCGACAGCTCTAAATTCTTTTTTTTTTTTCTTATATTTTTAATTTTTTATTGTGGGTTGTTCAAAACATTACAAATTTCTTGACATATCATATTCCACACTTTGATTCAAGTGGGTTATGAACTCCCACCTTCACCCCATACACAGATTGCAGAATCACATCAGTTACACATCCATTGATTTACATATTGCCATACTAGTGTCTGTTGTGCTCCGCTGCCTTTCCCGTCCTCCCCCCTCCCCCCTCCCCACCTCTCCCCTCCCCTCCCCTCCTCTCTCTCTACCCCCTCCACTGTATAACCCTGAGGGTCTCCTTCCATTACCATGCAATTTCCCTTCTCTCTCCCTTTCCTTCCCACCTCTCATCCCTGTTAAATGTTAATCTTCTTCTCCTGCTCTTCGTCCCTACTCTGATCTTAGTTACTCTCCTTATATCAAAGAATACATTTGGCATTTGTTTTTTAGGGATTGGCTAGCTCTAAATTCTTATAACAATCAGGGAACAGATTCCTAGGTACTGTGATGGGCTAGCTGGGTATTTTGATAGTCAGAAGATGCTTGCCAAAGCTGTTTTGATTCATGCTCTTTTTTCCCCCAGTATGTCACTGTTGGGCACAGATTTTTAACAGGTTAGAGGTCTTAATATAAATGCAATTGTACTTAATTCAAAAGTAGGATAGGAAAAGTGTTGTCAACCATATTTTTTAAATAGTATCAAGATGTAGTGATGGTGTACTTAAGAGACAACTGTGCTCATCTTGCTTTGCTGAATCCTGGGACATAACATGTTCCTGTGTTATGCACATCACATCTACACAGCATTATTTTTACTCTCTGTGCCCACACCATGACGCCCAACCATCCAGAAAAGCCAACTATCCAACCCCTGCACAGAAGTGGGAAAAATTAAAATGGGACCAGATAAACAAAACAAAAAGTAAAGCCATAGATGTAGCTGGCACTGGAGGTAAACGGTTGCTTTTATTCTCCGTCTTAGACATTAGCTTTCCTCTTGGCAAAAGCTAGACTTAACAGCTAAGGCCTCAGGCATCTTCTTGTGTAGTTCATTAGAAACCTTTATAATATTTTTCCCTCAGGAATTAGATTTTCATTTAATTATGTTTTATACAACCCAATATAAAATTTTCCCACTGTTCTGCATACTCTGGCCCCCTTAATTTAATTTTTTAAAAGTTCTTATGCAGTCATCGGTTTTTCTTTCAGAGGAACATAAAACAGACATCCACTCCAGGACCAAAGCTAAACTTGCAGGCCACAGTGGTAGAGTCTTCTGGCTTTCTGCCCTCTGAAACTTCATGCAGGTGACTGCAACCTTAGACCAGCCGCTTAACCCCTCTGACACTTTCCTTCTTCCTCCGAAAAGAGGAGGAGATTGACTCAGATTCTCCTTAAGGCATCTCTGTGGTCTGAGGTTCTAGAGTTATTTTATCCTAAAGGGAAGAACTTCCAAATGTGAAGGCAGTTGCTGTTAATTCTTTAAAATTAAGACTCTAAACTCTACATTCAAAAAGTTAGATTTTGTGAAACTGGTGGAAAGAAAATATAAGCTAAGTGCCCTTTTTTTAAAATATTTTTTTTAGTTGTCAATGGAGCTTATTTTACTTATTTATATATGGTGCTGAGAATCAAACCCAGTGCTTCACACATGCTAGGCAAGTGTCCTACTACTGAGCCACAACCCCAGCCCTGGCCTAAGCCCTTTGATGCAGAAGCAGCAAAAGCACAGAGCAGCACCGTTATAAAATTTCCATAATTCAAGTTAAAAAATTGTGTTCAGAAAGGAATTTAAAGAAAGCAGATTTCTGATACTTACTTGTGGCCCAGCTCATGAGCGATGGTAAAGGCCAAATTGAGACCATTGTCTTCGGCAAGCACACATTTCCTCTTAGCACTGCACACACCTCCTAAGTAAGCAATTCCTGCAGCAGAGACACAAAACACATCCTCTTCAGAACCTGGGAGGCCCTGACCTCCTGGGCATGTCTGCATGGTATCACGCATGATCTAGATCAAGAGAGGGGCAAGTAGGGCCTTTGCTGCCACAGGGTTGGACCTGCAAGTCCAAAGCTCATCTGGGATTAGTTTGCTTATGATACTTTTATATTTACCCAATAATAAGAGTGGCAGTCACAAATATCTATCAAGCATTTACTATCTGACAAATGTTGGGTGAAATGGTTTATAAATATCATCAAATTTAATCCTCATTACTCAGGATGAAGAGGAAAAGTGAGGTTCAGAGAGAAAAGGTTCAGAGATTTCCCCCAGGGTCTCCTGCCTTGGTACTCAGTGGTGAGATCCTAAACTAATCTGTGCAACTTGAGTGCTCAGGGCTGGGAGCAGCAAAGCAAGGTGTCCAGTGTGCAAAGATTAGGAAGCTCTTCCTTTTAAAGGCTGATCTCATATTTGAAGGCCCTGGAGGAGAAACTCCTTAAATTCTACACCCTCAGCACCTTTTGCATCATTCTAGTTCTGGTCTTGTGAGGGTCTGATGACCCCGGGGTTGATGAACAGCAGGCAAGGGAAGGCTGCCTAGCATGTTCAAACAAAAACTTCAGTAATTCTCCAGACACAGCAGGACTGGGAGTCATATGGAGCAGAGAGAGCACACACTGGGAGAGGGATGGCCTCAAAGCCATCTGTGAGGACAAGCCCCACAGACCAACTTCCTCACCTCCATGCACACCTGTGAGGACCTGAGGATCTTGCCCTAAAAGGGGAAAACGAATCACACACACCAGGAGGCACAAGCGCAGCACAGGACCACACTGTGAGCAAGAGGCGGTGTGGCGAGGCTAGGAGCTCTGGCAAGTGCTGGTGGGTCAGCCACGGGAGGAGGGATGGGAGCTTCCCAGCAGAGGAAAGCTCTTCTGGCAGAGGGATATATTTGAACAACCTGGAGCCTTCTAGGGAATGCTGGGCACTCGGCGCAAGGCTGGGGAGGGCCAGCCCCCACTGGCCACACTTGTGGAAGCTGGCTCTCCAGGTGCCCCACTGCCCATGACAGCTCTCTGCACTTCTGCTCTCCCTGTACTCAGGACAGACAACCCCTACTACCCAGACACCCCAGGGCTGACCTCAGCAGGGGCCCTAGGAATCCTGCCATCTAGCCTCTGTTGCCTGTGGTGTCTGCCCCTCAGCAAGCTGCCTCTCAACAACTCCTGGGAGACATGCAAATCGTGGTACTGGTGGCTAGAGGAGGGGGAATGGTGCTGCTGTTCCCCTCCCATGAGGTCCCATGGGTGTGGGGCAAGTGCTGTGTGGCAACAGCTGGTAACAGGCAGGAGGTTAAACCCAGCTGACTCAGCCTGCAAGCACCATGCCACAGGACGGGCTGTGGTCACCTGAGGAAGGGCACCTGTTCTCCATCAAGGCACTGTTCACCCACCAAGCTGCATGCTGCCCCCAACTGAGGGCTTCTTGCACTTCCACAAAGTGTTTCAGAGGAAAAGGAATTGGCAGAGGGCCAAGGACAACAGCCCAGGGGCCTATTTCATTAAAACTGACCCCTCCCTTCCTGTTCTTAAAGAGGTAAACCAAAACATCCTCTTTGTTGATATCAAAATCAAAGTAGTGTGAAGCCAACTCTTGGTGTTGCTTTGCTGCAACTGCTAGTTGCTACAGATGATCATTCTTATCTTCCTTCAGTGGAGCAACAGGGGGAGGATATCATCAGAGAGGTTTCCATTAAAAAGGTAAAAATAAAACTGGTCTAGCACTCAAACACAAGACTCCCCTTCCTTTGGTCCCTACCAGGAGGCACAGAGGAAACTCACATGGCTGCCTCTGCAGAGAGGTGCAATTCTGGGGCTATAATCTGGAGACTCTGCTTACATTCCACACGCTGAGCCTAGGTACCATACCACATATCTAATCATCATCATCATCTGTACTGGAGATTAAACCTAGGGGCACTTTTTCACTAAGCTGTATTCCCAACCCTGTTTATTTTTTGAGACAGATTATTTCTTTTCTTTTTTTTTTTTTTTTTTTTTTTTGAGAATAGTTCTCCTTCTTTGGTTTTTTAAAAATATTTGTTTTTTAGTTGTAGTTGGACATAGTACATTTATTTTATTAATTTTTTAATGTGGTGCTGAGGATTGAACCCAGGGCCTTGCTTGTGCTAGGTGAGAGCTCTACTACTGAGCCACAACCCCAGCCCTTGAGAAAGGGTTGTGCTAAGTTGCTAAAGCTGGCTTCAAGGTTATGATCCCCCTGCCTCAGCCTCCCAAATCTCTGGGATTACAGATGTGCACAATGGCACCCAGCTCTACACATCTCTTTTTTATTTGGAAACATGCAGCCTGTTTGGCCAAGGTTGAGGAATAGAGAGAAAGAAAGAAAAAAATCAGCTGGGTGCAGTGACACACACCTGTAATCCCTTGAGAGGCTGAGGAAGGAGGATCATGAGTTCAAAGCCAGCCTCAACAAAAGTGAGGTACTAAGCAACTCAGTGAGATCCTGTCTCTAAATGAAATACAAACTAGGGCTGGGGATGTGGCTCAGTGATCAAGTGCAGAGGAGGAGGAGGAGGGGGGGGAGGAGGAGGAGGAGGAGGAGGAGGAGGAGAAATAAATAAAATGGTTTTTGGCCTCAAGATGCTTTTTTTGCAGGGGAACATCATAACCCAGAAAAGCAGACTAGTGGAAAGAGCAAAGTGACCACCAGAAAGGATGTGATCTGGCTTCTCAGTATGTTCAAGATCATGATTCTGGCTTTACTTAAAAATGCTTTGGGGATTGCCACTGGAAGTTCACCAGTGAGAAGATGGAGCACTTCTACATAGCCCTGGTGGCATGCCCACACAGCCAGACACCCACTCACAGTGCCCGCCCAGCCCAGGTGGCAGCCTCTCTGGGTCAATGAACCAATTAGAAACAATCAGATGTTCATGTCCTGGAGAAGTCCCCTGGGAGGGGAAGGGAGATACAATACAGCCAGATTTGCTGAGCTTGCCGTCCCAAGGGCTTACCATGGGCATTGTTGCTGAACCAGTAGACCTTAAATGCCTCATTAACACTTCCCCTGGCCTCGGCCTCTCTCCTCACAGGAGCGGGCAGACCTGAATTTCCACTCTAATGAGGTAACACACATTGTTAGGGAATCAGAAAGCAAACAGCAGCAGTCCAATAATTGTGTTTTAATTTTTCCAAGGTGCAATGATTTTTTTTAACTAGAAAACAAAGGGGCAGAATTGTAATGCAAAATAAATAAATAAGAAAACACAGGGGCAGTTGTTTATTATTGTTCATTTATTAATGACTATTGTTCATTATTAATGATGCTTACACATAGGTAGATTGAGGGCTACTGCTTTTAACAATTGATTTGAATTATACTGAGCCTGGTCATAAAACTGAACATGGGAAAACACATAAAAGAAATTGGCCCCTGACAACAGAGCACAAGAATTATGTGAGTTTATGAGTGACAGTGTGAAAATGCTTAGGGTGCACAAAACAAAGTCTGGAGAAAATCCCAGGTTGTTGTAAAGTGAAAGCTGCAGGGAAATAAGTGGTAATTAAGCCACAGAGCTTTAGCAGAAAACAATACCCACCAGTATTTAATACTTCATGGAAAGAAACAGCAGTCTAGAGGGGAGGGAGCCCAGAAGACCTGGAGATACCCTGCTATGATTTGGATCTTAAGTGTACCCAGTTTCATGTGTTGAAGGTGTGGGAAATGGTGGCGCCTTTAGAAGGTGGAGCCTAGTGGGAGGTCTTTAGGTCTGGGGGGTGGGGCATGTCCTCCAAGGGGGACTCTGGGATCTAATCCTTTCATCTTCTTCCGTTTTTCATTCCCTGGTTGTGGAATGAACAGTTTTCTCCACTACATACTCCTTGCCATTGCCAGTTGCCACTGGTACGAGAGGCCTAAAATCAAGGGGTCCACCTGGCCATGAATTGTGACCTTGAAAACTGGGAGCCAAAATAAAACTTTTCTCTCTACAAGTTGATTATCTTGAGCATTTGGTATAGTGATAGAAAGCTCCCCATTAACTTAGGCTGCAGAAAGCATCAACCTGGAAAAAGTCATCAAATCTGACATTGGTGCTTGTCAAGAAATGAGGAAAGCTAGTAGCCAGGGGCACAGGCCTATAATTCTAGCAAATTGGGAGGCTAAGACATCATGAGGTCAAGGCCAGCCTTAGCAACTTCGTGGGGCCCTAAGTAACTTAGTGAGACCCTGTCTCAAAACAAAAAATAAAAAGGATTGGGGATGTGGCTCAGTGGTAAAGAGCCCCTGGGTTCACAATCACCAACATCAAACAAATAAAAGAGGAAAAATAGTTTTCCCTGCATTGATGCATTAAAAATGAGGTCTGCAACACAAGTTCTGGTAACTTCAGGGATGATGCTGTGGAACTGAAGACCCTTCCCATGTAGCAGCAATCCTCTTTCAATGAGGTTTTTTTTTTTTTTTTTTTTAAATGTCCTACATTGCTGCTTTCAATGGCTTCAGGCTTTCATGATTTAAAATTCTCCACAAAAGAAACCATAGTAGACCTCATTTAAAAATATTTAAAAACATCAATCCCACATGTTTGCTTAGCTCCCTGGAAGAAAGGGCATGCAGATTGTAAAGTGGAACATATTAGCTGTGTTTCTCCATGGGCAAACTGCATGTCCTTCTCTTATTGGACAGGTATTACTAGTCCCATTTTACAGATGGGGAAATGGAGCCTCAATACACAGTTACATGGTCAATTAGCATCCAAACAAGAATACAAATGCAGGGCTCTCTGCCTCCAACATCCACATTGCTCTATTTAAACCTTGAGCCTCCCTCACCCAAGCTTTGGTAAACAACAACAATGAAGAATGGTTAGGAACTCCAGATTTTCTTAAGTCTTAATGCACACTTATGCAGAGTTACAGGCAGGACAGGTTTCACACATCTAAACGTTTTTAAGCTTAAG